AAAGATTTTGTGCAGTTCTTTGATAACCAGAAGGTTGATAATATAATTTTCTAAGAGCAATACCAATATCAAGTTCACGAACTTTTTTAGTATCAATAAAAATAACAGGGATCATTCTTTACTATAATGTTTTAGCAAAGTCAGGAGATATATTATACAATAAAAAATAGAGACAGAGTCTCATTACTTCATAATAACCATGGCATTTCATCAACCACATCCTAAGAGAATATCTCATGAACCAGTATCTAATCGAGAATTGAAATTGGAGCAGGTAAATCAAGCTTTAAGAGATGAGTTATCTAACGAAGTTTCAACCAATAGGTCCAATGAGAAATACATAAATGAGCTAGAGCGCAAATATAACAGATGTGAGAAAGAAATCCAATCTCTCAATAAAGAACTGGAACAGCTTGAGAATGCTTCAGAGAAAGAAAAGGCAGAGTTGAGATCGGAGATATCATCCCTTAAAAGAAGCTTATATCAAGCTAAAAAGGAAATCCGAGATAAAATATCATATATCGATAATATAGTGAGGCAGTTACAAGAATCGGAAGAGCGGGTTCAAAATCTAAGGCTTAGATTCAAAATTATTTCTTCAAGAAGAAGCTCTCCTATCTTATATAATTCAGAAGAAGATACAGATATGGCGCATATTGACCCTTTATAAATATCACTAGAGGATTAAATCGTCTTGAAAATCATTTCACAGGAGGTACACCCTTAATTAATCCTGCCAATATTATCCAAGGTATGTATGGCACTTTAAATACTATTCGGGCTAATTATCAAAGAATAGACCAGGATTTAGATGATGTTACAAATCAACGAGATACTCGAGATGCCCAAATAGTACAATTACAACAAGATGTCAATTATTTTAGACAGCAAAATATTGATTTACAAAATCATGTTAACCAACTCACACTAGAGCGTAACAATTCTCAGAATGATCTTGCTTTGATGACTACAGCTTATTATAATGAACGGGAAGAACGTCGTCATTGGTGGGGGGTAGCTAAACAATTGGAAAAAGGAATGCAGATGCGGATTAATAATTTATTACTTGATAAGCTTGCACATAATTTTAAACTCCGGAGGTGTCAAAGTCATGGTAGAGAATTGCAACAGGGGTTACAACAATGTCAGGCCGATAAAGGATTATTAGAATATAATCGAGATCGACTCTTTGATAGATATTACAATAAATTCAAGGATCGAAAGGCAAGTCATATCAAGTGGAAAAATAGGGAGCGCAATTCTCAGCAATTAATTATTAATTTGAATCATCAAAATTTATTACTACAGAATAATCCACCTATAAATCCAAATATGGCAGCCGTCAATAGACAACATATTTATCAAACAATCCAAACTGGTCTTTCTCATATTCCTAATTATATAGGACAAGAGCCACCAGATGACTATTGTAATAAAATACAACAAGCAATTGCTTATGCAGATACAATGATTACTGATGCTAATACTGCAAATGCCAATACTTTTACAAATGCCCATAAAGCAGATATCTATAAATCAAAAATGGCGGGTAAATATGTTCCAGTTCCTGCGCAATATCCAAATGGAACAAATATTGATACACCTGATAGATTCAAAGCTTGGATTAGATTTAAATATCACGAATTAACTGTAGGAACAAGACAGGCTTCTTTAACAAAATTGACACAAGAGAAGTTTCTACCTACTGATACTCCAGAATCTTATGAAGAAAGAATTCGACTTTTATTATTACAAACACCAAATGATAATGCTGATGCCTTAGCAATTTTATGGAATCACTTACCAGATGAGCTCTTTTCAAGAATGGAAGTTGCAGCTCCAGACAACATAGATGCATTCTTTACTGATCTAAAAAATATCTGGCTTAAGCGTCAACCTCATACTTTTACATATAATGGAAATAGAAATTCTATGCATGTTATTAGCCCTAATGTACCTCTTATTCCGCAAAAAATAGTTAATAAAGCACAGGATCATTTAGAAACTATTGCTATGAGATTAGGTTATCCAGATGATGCATCACGAAATCCTGATGATTTAGAAAATTTTATTGAAGATGAATTATATAAAAGATTTGGTTATGAAAATTATAATCTTAGACGAAATTCTCCTGCAAAAAAAGATTATACGAATAAAAAATCTAACAAAACATCTTCCAAATGTTCCGATTGTGGTAAGACAGGTCATAGAAAAAACCAATGTCCTAAGCCAAAGAAAAGTCCTGCTAAAAAGACTAATTACGCAATAAGATCTGATGATGATGATGATGATGAGGAATTTTATTCAGAAGGCTCTCCAGAAGAAGAATCTGATAATGAGGAATCCTATTATGAAAGTGAGGAAGAGGATGATAATTCTCGACATACATTTGCTGTAAAAAAAAAAAGATACCCAAAATCTGGTTCTAAGAAGAAAAATCAATCAAAAAAGCCCTCTTCAGTATTTGTGATTCAAAAAATATTCCGAGCTTCATGTAAGTCATTAATAGAGGCACTGATTAAAGAATGTCCTGAGAATATTTTAGTAGAAGCTTTAAGTTATTTAGGTAATGTATATGATAGTTTGAAAAATACACTCTTAGATAACTACGCCTCAAAATATTCATCTAAGGAGAAAGAAGTAATTTGGGGGCAGGTTACAGAAGTTTATAAAGATATTTTACATTCATTAATTGTTGCTGTTGATCGAATTAATAAATCCAAGGAGCAACCACAAACCAATACATTAAATTTTGCTATCAAGAAACATTTTAGCCAGCAAACAAAAAAATCATACTGGCCTGATCCGCGATATGAGATTAATTTTATTCACCCCAAAGATCCTGATGATGTAGCAACAATTACTAGTAAGGTTGCTTCAATGACTATACCTTATTCACTGGTTGATTCAGGATCTAATGAGTCAGTTATTAGTGATAATATTGGTGAAGAAATGGGTCTTGAAATAGATGAATCAAATATCCCAAATATTACCGGTCTTGCAAGTAAAGCCAATGTTGTAGGAACATCTTATAATGTACCTGTAACAATCAGTGATGGAAAAAATTCAATTACAACCTATGAAAATTTTTCAATAGTTAAAGCTGAAAAAAATAAAAATGGAGATTATAAGTCCCTAGTATTATTTGGTAATCCTTTACTTAGTAAACTTGGATGGGAACCCATTGTAAATCGGGAATTCAAGGCATGTCAAAATGGTGTACATGTTACATTACCACTTTCAGTTCATAAATCACAACGAGAAATTTTTACAACTGAGAAGCTAGAATCATGGCACGCTCCAGAAGGCTTTAACCCAAAAAAAAACTAGATGGGAGGAATATATAGATCAATTTTTCCTGGATATATCAGGATATGTTCTACCATCTTCATTCTCCAAATCATGAATGAGATGATATATAGTTCCATCTCGAATAAATTTTTTTAATGTAGACTCAAATAAATCTTTACCTCTATTAGCCATATCCAGCTTTATTTTCTTACATTCTGCATCTTTCTGTTGCTTAATAGAATTTAATGTTTCCTGCGTAGTTTCAATAAAACTTTGACGCATTTTATCTATAGCTTCTCTGACTCGAGCATTAATCTCCTCCTCAATGTCAGGGTACATATCAGTTACTTGTGTATTAGTGGAGCAGTCTGTGAAGCAGGACATTCTGTGTCTATCATTGGAGATAACAGTTTGAGATATTTCTGTATTTTGTATAGAAGAGCTGATTCGATATCGATTTTTTTTCTTTTCATATTTATCAATCTCACTAATCAATAATGTCTCGATATCAGGATTAATACTACTTGCTTGTTCTTCTGTCAATGGATTATGAACTCTAGATATGAGACGTTTCCATATATTTTTTTTTATGGAAGGTGGTAATTTCTTAAGAAGTTCTGAATAATGTTCGTGAAAATTCATAATTTATATTTTAAGAATTCTAATTTTCTTGAGAATTCTAATTTTCTTGAGAATTCCAGAATTATAATACGACATAAATCTATAGAAAAAAAATTATATTAATTTTCGTTTATTATGTAGCACATTAATTATCACATGATATCATGCCATTTCAGCTCGACATCATATGACT